CCCCGCCCCCGCCTCGCCTCTAATCACAGAATGAGCTTAGCTGTTTTACTTTTTATCATAAGTGTTATGTGGTCAATCAACATTTTATATATACATACCTGTCTGTAAATATTTTTATGTATTTATTTTTATTTTTGGGTTTATTCGCTAAGTTTTCTCTATATAAAGTCAAATATATTTGTTAGCTCCAGTTTATATTTATATCGATTCCATAACACTTTATATGCCAAAGTCGATGTCTCATTGCCATTATCGCCGCTATGTCGTAAGTTACTCTGCGTGGATCTCTGACATCACAACGGACTATGATCGTACAAAGGGAGCCATTTATTTACACCGCCGTGGGGGTTGCTCCATCCAAGCTGCTCTGGTGTCTTATATTAGCTCAAGTACTCATCTAGTAGTTTGCTCATAATGTTGTTGTTGATTTTTTTTTATTTTTTTATTATTTTAAAAATCTCCACGATATGGAGTGAAATTCTAAAATTATATTCTCAGTAATCGAATGTTTTTTAGCTTATAGTATTTTTTTTTAATTTTATGAAATCATTATCTGACAGTTTATTATATTTGCACAACAGTTAAGCCGCCTAGTAATATTTCGTAATAAGTATATTACATATATATATATATTTTATTTAATTATAAAACTTACATTTAATTCCTGTGACATCTATTTTAGTTATAGCATTTCATTATTGTCTTACCTTTTCAATAGAAATTAAATATTTAAAAAGAAAAACTCAAAAAAAGTGCAATTCAGTATTTAATTTATTTTAATAATTTTATTTATAAAATTTAACTTTTTAATATGTCACCAGTGAGGAACACTTGCATTGTACAACTTGTAGTAGGGACCAAGGTATAAACCCGGTTTGCTTTCGTTTAGTAACAAGACGTCCATTTACTTTGTTTATACTCGATGCGATACTAAAAGACATTCTCATTGATTTCCATACGTTTTCGTTGTGTTTGTTTCCGCCGTCGGCTTAGTGATGTATGATACCGAAGGGCCTTTTATAATTTGATAAGGTTTAGCTTGTTGTCTTTATTTATATATGATATATATATTTTTGTAGGTTGAGGTTGCGACGGGCGACGTGCGACGTGCGACTTTAGCGTATAATCGCAGGTTTAGGATGAGGCGATAGGTCGGTCGCAGTCGCGCGAGGTGATATCTACAATAAACTAGTCTTCCTTGTGTTTGAGTGGACGAGAGGACGATAGGACGAGAGGGCGGCAGGCGGCACGAGAGGCAATCATTCCTCTAGTCTAGTTACGTGGTGCGGTTAAGTGAATACCAAATATAAAATAACGAAGGCTTTGATGTTAGTGTGTAGGCGGTAACCATAGATTCGCTCCGAGCAGCTTGGACCCTGCGAAACTTAACAAGGGAATGGTTGGGTAGTATTATTATAATGCATTTATTTCTCTTTTTTTGTCATAGTCACTCGTAAATATATTTAATTAATTGAGCTAATGCCTAAAATTGGAATATCAGAGTTTATTTAGGATGTTTCATATTTTACATTTTAGTGTTTAAATATCTAAAATTTACCTTAATTATAGTGAATGGATTTTGTATTATTGGTATATAGCTGTAAGACAAAGGTGTTCTCGATAAACACAAACAACTGATTAATACAAAATAATAAAAAAAATGTACTGAGTGACTTTACGTGTAAACAGAGCGGGCCATTGAAATAAAACGTTGAACTAAGCTAAATTTCTCTATGTGGTAATTCTAATAAATGTGATCGCTGCAAAATATTTTTAACTGCTATATGTATAGATATTATAGTTGAATAAGTGTCATGTATCCGTAGTTCACTGAGAGGTACGCCGGCGCTACGTGCGTACTGCAGAGACAATGGTGGGTGTGGTCTCCGGCCGCCCCGCCCCTGCCGAGTGTGACAGCTTGTGCCTTACCTTGTGACTGGCACATTGGCAGGCAGACCACTCTCGTTACAATCTTTACCACCAACGACGCCATCTAGTGGCATCTCATTGTCGGAATATATTTTTTAAACTTGTAGCCGGTGAACATAGTTGCATTTGATTCGTCGTATTTATGTATATATGAATGTGTATCGAAGCCGACCTCCCCCCCCCCCCCCCCCCCCCAGCCCCACCAGCCCACTCCCCACCAACGTGACTGCAGTTAATTGATGCAGTAGACTCGGGCGCAGCTCGCTGCCTACACTACACAAGACACTGCTTCTCTAGTCTGTCTCGCATTCGAACATCGCATTAGACGAGCTTTTGATATTCGAGCATAATTTTTATGAAATCGTCGTAATCCTAATAAGAAACTAGTTATTATTCGTATTATTTCTTTCATTAGATCTCTGTTGTACCTGTGTCGAGTTGTTTTATATTCATTGTTCATTTGTGTTCGTAGGAGAAGTGAACCGGTCTCGATGTCTCCGTACTCTGATATACGTAACTGCGTAGCTCCAACGACAGAATCGTGTATTTTTCCAGAAAAAGATAAATTAATAAAAAAATCCTCTCATTGTCAATCATGACAGCAAAAAATAATAAATACTCTGCGCTCTTAAATTAGTCACATTTGTACCTTGAACATACCTGTACATGAATAAAGTAATGGACCTCATGTACGCGAGAATCGACTAATCCAATTCTTGAAATATACTTAATTTAAATTTTGACAGACTGATAGCTGTGATTAAGAAAATATTTTTAATATTATCCAGTGAGTCGGATGAGAATATTTATTTTATTAGATGTTTCCTACTGCCAGAGACACGTATCTATGTGACGAGACATAATCGCTTCGCATATTTTTTTACTTTTAGTATTGTATCGTAGTGTTGTAGAGAGCGAACAATTGCGCCCACCACGACCAGCGCCATCTCGCGGCGGTCGCACGCACAGACTGACAAACGAATCGATTATCAGTACCACCGATGTCATCTGAAATTCATTTCCTAAATGATCTTCAACGTTGCATATCGACTAACATTTCTATTTCGAATGATTTTGTTGTATTCATATCCGTAATTTTTCCATAATATTCGTTAGGTTTTGATATTTATAAAAGAACTTAAGTTAACATAATAAACGAAACTTAATCGGTCGCCTTTGATAAGTGTAGTGAGTGACATCTCTCTAAAGTTAATGTACGATTGGCGTTGGTTTATAATAAAATATATTTTTCGGTACCACCTTTGAGTTAAAGTACAATGTAGTTATATAAAAAAGCGTGTTTCAATGGAATAATTCATAACAATATCAGAATAAAATTAATCGATAAGTTAATTGTAGATTAAGGCTGTCTCGTCTCATATAACAAACAATAATGTCAACTTCTCGATTTTCGTACTGTATTGGACATGTATTAAACTAGGCAAATACTGAATTTTTCATAATTATATCGGTAAGCTAAATATATTAAAGAAAACACTTTTCTGTGCAAATCTCTGTGATGGGAAAATTTTATTCTAAAGATTTAGTATTAATTGTTGATGTCGCGGGTGCGATCACGCGTCGCCGTCACGTCGGCTACGCTGATCGTGCCCGTTACGTTGCGCTCTTAAAAAGTTGAACTTTTCAGTCTTTTCGCGCAAAGGGTTGTGTATTAATTTTTATGTAGTACAAATGTGTTCGCAATTTGATTGCTGCTGTAGTGTTCCTTTTTTTTTCTTGTGTAACTTTCGGCATTTATTTGAAACTGGTTTTATTGTCGGTAATATGATTTGTAATTGTAAATTGTCGTCAGTGTCGGTGTCGGCCGCGTACCAAATAAGAGCCGGCAGTGCCGCCCGACCTTGTCACTCTCTTTGTATCTTTATTACCTCATTGTCTAACCTCACGTGTAAATCAGACTACTATATCGCCTTTCCGTACTTACCGAACGCACAGCACTGTTATTTGGTACACCCACCCCTATAAAATTGTCTTAAGTTATTTTAAGGTTTATCATGAACTGTATCGGCATATATAGTTGATATATTAAATTGTTATTTTTCTGAAACTACCTAAAAGCAATGTATTTTACAAACAAAGCAGGAGAACAATAATTATTATGTAAGTGTAACAGTTAGTGAATTTGTGTGCTATTTTCCATTCCAGAACTCAACGATATCAACGTTCTTATAATACTTATGTTCGGGTTTAAAAAGATGTTATTATTGTATAATTAAACTAAACTTTATGTGATTGAAATGCAATGTTTAGAAGTATTTTATTCTTTATTTTTTACCATTAATAATAGTTGTAGAGATCTATTTGAGAGTCTAATGTATCAATTATTTGTAAAGTTGGCTGTAACTAATTAGAAGTTACAATAAGTAGACATATTTTAATATAAACATTTGGAGCAAATTTTTATGTAGATTACAAATAGTTGTTTTGATGATTATGTAAAGTGTTGTATGTGATGTATCGTGTCGTAAGTAATTGTATGTGGTTAGCGCAATGTACGCACAACGGTGAGGCGTGGGGGCGCGGGGGCGCGGCACGGACCGCGTGCGACTCCGCGACCCCCCCACCCCCCTCCCACCACGCGACCCTCGACTCTCACTGCACAGCACAGCACAGCACTGCTAGGCTAATTCAGTTATTGCGTAAGGATATTTTTTCTTACATTTCATAAGAGTAATGTTTATAGTATAGGCAATAAATAACGTTTAACAAAAAGTCCCTATGTAATCGAACTGACGACAGAAACGCGTGTAATATTTGTGGCCTCTTTATAAATAAGATCTAAGTTACATGTTAAAGAAAATTAATTTTGCTATGCACAGAAATGATACTCAATTAATTGCCAAAAAGTTATATGTATATTCATAGTTCAACAATATTTCTTTTGGGCATATTTACTTTGATGATTTATGCAAAAACTTAGATTATGACTAAGTAGGTTGTAGACTATATGTAGAGTGGATGCATATATAATATATCTATATATTTAAATAAGGTGAATTTGAGATGTATCAATTTCTTGTATCGTTCGTAAGTTTAGATAATAAATGGGTTTAGCCATAATTCGGCTGGTTTGATATGTATGTTATCTGATTAATTGTAAAAAAATATAAAAATAAATAAAAATGCGTTTTTATTTCAAACCCTTTCCGAACTTCCCACTTATACAGATAGAGGAATAGTGTCTTAAAATAATTTTTAAATTATATTAATAATAAAAAACCTGTTTACTTTAATATATTTTATTGGGATAAGAGAAATGCCGATGTTAATTACTTAACTAGGTATCACTTCTTGAATGTGCTTAATTCAAAGCAAAGTCAATTCAGTACAAAACTACATCATAGTACCATTTTTGGTAATAATAATTACATACATTAAGAATATTAACTGAGATTATACAAATAAGCATTCATTGGTCTACTACTTTGTTAAAATTATTCACAAATGCAATATATTAGGCCAGAAAGAGAACAAATGTAAACAATTTGACAGCGATATATCTGTCTCTTTCACTCATAGTTAATAATCCAGAGACGATGTATTGTTGATTTGTCAGGTGTCATTTATGGCACACGGTCATTTCAAAAGTTTGAAGCGTCAATCGCCTAAAGTTTAAAGGTACGGATTTCAGATCGTGCGTTCAAATCTCGCCGTAGACTTTATATTAGTAAATTAATAAAAATCAGCTAATTTAAAAAAAATCTTGACAATGTCCCTTGACTTATTAGCTTATTACAATCAATTTATGTTCACAATTCTTTACGTCATCTCGCTGGCCGTAGTACTTTTGCACTAATTAAAACAATAAACTTCTATGTACACATGGTCTATATCCTAGATATTTATTCAAGTCGCTATTATTTCATGACATCTGTTATCTGCCGTCAGTGCCTGACAGTGACACAAATATATGTTTGTACCAAAAGTCAACAGTCTTGGCCCACGCGCCGAGGGTTGTCGAATCCGGTTTCAAAACTTCAATCAACATCTTTACTAACACATCTTTTAGATCCTGTGAACAAAAACAAAAATAGTTATAACTTACTAATCTTACCAATATTATAAATGCGAATGTTTACATGGATGGATGTTTGTTTGAAGATATCTTCGGAACGGCTCAACGTATCTTGATGAAATTTGGCACAGATGTAGAACATAGTCTGAAAGAACAAATAGGGTACTGATTCATTTTTTTTTTAAATTTCGCGACGACGGAATCGCGGGCGAAAGCTGGTCTATAATAAAAATAAACGTAAGTAAAAATTATTTACGAATCAGTTCGTTACTGTAAATCGGCACAACCTTAATACTTCGCGCCATTTGCTTATTATATAATTCTATCTCCATTCCCCAACTTCGTATAATTTTAATGTCATGTAATGAAAGTTACGTACTCTCAATATATACGACATTTGAGGAGAGTCGTGAAGCCGTCTGCGAGGAAAACGGAACCTGTTCCATTTATATAGCTAATATTATCTGTATGAAAACGCTTGTCATACGATCGCTGGCGTTTGTATTCCTATTTCTAAGTACTTTACATACTATCGTACGTAATCATTTGGGATTTTATTTTAAAATAAACTTTACATAAATTTCTAAACTTAGCTTACTGCAATTTAAGTTTTTTCGGTCAACAACCTAAGTGTGGTTAGATTTGAACCATTTTACTCTAGCATATAAGAGACAATATCACTACTTTTCCCACTGTTCTGTTTGGAAATAAAAAGATCAAATTAACTTACATAGAAATGTTGTTCCTGTAATTTTCTTTTTCTATGAGAGTCTCCTATCTTGAGCATCATTTCAATGACTATCTCCGGCTGGTCTAAAGTCTTCACTGCCTGATCTAGAGAAGACATCAAATTGATGACGTGAGCTTTGAACTGAAAGTTTCTCTCGTACTCTTCTTCCGGCAGTTTTCTCACCATTTTGAAGAATTCTTTCGTTTCTGGATACGCGCGGAATAACCTTCGATCAAACATAAAATTATTATTATACGAATTATTGATATTTTTTATAATTATAGTTTTTGTCATAATTTACCAATCACATGCACTTTAAAAGAGAAAAACCTGCCTTTAAAATTATAGTAACAGTTTTTATATCAAAGTATAAACTTTCGGAACATGTCTGACCAACATTTTTCTGTATAAATTCATCTAATATTACCTTTTTAATAATTCAATTCCGTTAGCCGTGGAGTCTTTGTGGACGAGTGCCCAGGATCGCTGCACCGCGTATATCTCACGCCGTGTCAGGCCCGAAATCGGGTTCACTATGTCGGGGTCTCCGCCCCACCATAGATAGCTCAGCCACCCGCCCATTGCCCACTAGCTTCCTGCTTCTACTTGTTATTCTGAAACACTAAAAACAATACTTCATTAAAAAAAATCAAAACAATATTTATCGAATGATACACGCTGCAACATCGATCCAGTCATTTAGGCTCATTTATTTAGGACTTGAAAATAATATCCAGGTAAAAACAAAAACCTAATCCTCGTTGAGTAAAAAGAAATGCCTGAATCCTGGTTAGTCAGCTTTTGTTTTGTCAATTCAAGACATGAAATGATTATGAAAGAAATTTTTAATATGTAATTTGTGCACAATTACAAAAGTAATTCCTAAATTTTAATGGTGTCGGTACTCTCCCAATTGTATGTTTAAAATTATAAAAAAAAAACATTTTGCAATAGTCAGTACCTTTTGCTTTGTCTTGACGCGCTTTAAAACTAAAAATGTCGTCAATAAAACGAATATAGAAGATAGGTAGACGAACAGAAGCATTATAACTTCCAGCACTTGCTTAAATACTACTTTTCTTAGTTATCAACTGCGGCGAACTAAAGTGTAAGATAAATTAATTTATCGTTTTATCACGAGTATTCAATTTATCAAGAGAACAACAAAATCATATGTCTCACAAAACAAAAGTAAATATAGTATCAGCTGACACATTATTCATCGCATCACGTTTATGTTTGAACAATTAAAGTTAATATTTGTTATTATTTGTATCACATTTAAAAGGATTTTAAGAGATCAGATAAACTGGTGACATGACGAAAAAAGTCTTAGTTAAATTTGTGTAGACACTTCGTGGCCATTTGTTGTTTGAAAAACGAAAAATTCGACTTGATTAGTGTTAAAAAAAACAGGAAGAACAGGAAGATCAGTGGTAATAGAGAACTTAATTTGGCAACTAAATAAATAAAACAAAAATGTATCATCTTTATTATGTGTGTTAACAAACAATCTCTTAAGTAAATAAGTAAATATTTCTTATGTACATTTATGTATAGGTATGTATATTATGTACAGGTTCCTCCTGATGTAAAAGTATTCCAGGATCAAGCGAAATGGACTTCGTTTTTTTGCCTACGCTTGATTTTCTATTTGTGGTTCTCAATTGGTTAACTTTGGCTCGGTTGTGAATTACAGGAATATTATAATATATATTTTTCTAAACAGCATTAGCAAATAAAGCTGGTCAAAATATCTTTGTACAGAAAGCGTAATATCATGTACGAATATATAATGTGAACCATAAGTGGTTGGAATCCAATTAACTGACACTCGAGAGGGAGCGACATTTGTGAAGCAAACACTCGTACAAAGGAAACATCGTGTCGGTTCGTAATTCGTGCCTTAATTAAAACGTCAAATACATATTTAGTTAACTATCTGGTGGTATACGTTTAAAATGTGTTACACGAAGAAAATATTTTAAACCAAAATGAGTAAAAAATTTGATCGAATCTTTTTTGAGTTGGCATAATTATTGCAAATATAGATAAAAGTGTGAAAGACGCTTACTAATAAATCTATATATATATAAAAGAAATTCGTATTAGTTACAATATTTATAACTCAAGAACGGCTTTACCGATGTGGCTGAATCTTGGTGAGGACGTAGCTTAGAGCCAGGAGAAAATAGGATACTATTTATTAATTTTTTTTCGAATTTATGTTTTGAAGAGCTGTTTTTTATTTAACTTACTAATATTATAAATGCGAATGTTTAGATGGATGTGATGTGGATGGATGGGTGTTTGAAGATATCTCTAGAACGGCTGAACGGATCTTGATTAAATTTGGCATAGTATAGAATATAGTCTAAAATAACACATAGGCTACACTAATTAAGTTTTTTTATATATCCACGCTGACGGAGTCGCGGGCGACAGCTAGTAATTTAATAAAATACGTGAAACTTATTGTGAATTTACGAAGTACTAAGTTAAATGTGTTTATATTTATATTTTATTCGCACACGTTTCTAAGTTTATAAAAAATGTAAACCACGTATATTAATTTATTTCCTCCGGCGCACGTAAATTGAAATCATACCGGAAGACTAATTGGACAAGGCTCGATCCACACTTGACCGGATTTTTTAATCAATTAGAGAGACGAAGATATAATATATGATATGGGCTCACTTTAAAATTATTTTGCGGTTTGCAGCTTTCGGTGGGCAAGTTTACATAGTGAAGAAAATATGTATTTAATTTACATTATTTCCAAATTGTTATATATATATAGTTAAGCTATTTTTTATTAAAAACAATCTACAATTTTTTTTTTGGACTCGTAGAGAAAAATATCTCATCATGAGGAACTTCTATGTCAAAGAAGTAACACTTCATATCGTTGTCAAAGTTCAAAGAGAATAAAAGCGATGATAGTATGTTTTCATAGAAATATTACTACAGTGGAAACGCAAAAGGATCGAGTTCGACAACCCTAGGTTGGATTAAGACGGTGTCTGGCTGTAGACGATTGCCGGAAAGCTTTCCTCCAAATTGTTAATTATGAGCAGACTGATGAGTTTCTTTTGTTTATGGTAGCCTGGTCCCTGCAGACACCGGCTAAGACGGCTAAGTAATAAATAACATAATTACTATTTCATTGGTTTAATAATGAAAGTTATATGGAATTAAAGCTTTAAACCTAAGTTTTTATTCAAAATAACCTATATAATTAATACAAATAACTTAATTATTACAGAATATAAGAGTCACAAATCAATCGAATAATAATTTTTGATAATAGTCATTTTTAAAAACTTAAGTTTCTTAGTAGACAACTTAGCCGATTTTATGTTTAACACAGACGTAGAGACCCCTCTCTATGTTAAGATTAACGTAACATAAATTTTATGTTATATTGGTATTATTACGTGGTAAATGTTGAAATGAAATTGTTAGATTACGCGATCTCAATATTTTCTACTCTTTAACGTTGAAGCGATATTGAATGGTAAACATTTGTACATCCAAATTTAACTGCCCGCCTAACCTTTGTGTGAACGTTGTGCAAATTGACCATTTATTTAAAGCCATAAATATACAAGAGTATTTCTGTACTCGTATTTCTAGTATTCATTGTGTGGTTAAAGACAAGGTTGCAAATGTTCTTTATAAGTCAGGATTTGTTCGTTGATTCCGTAATTCTGTTTACATCTATGTAAGAAGTCTTGATAAAAATGTTTGGAATTTGTATGTTTATTTATTACATTTAGGACAACAATAAAATAGTAATCAGCTCACTATACGTCCCCAATGAGTCTCAGAACCTAAGTTAGGGGTTGGATGACTTCACACGTATATTTGAATTTCTTCGAAGATATGTGTAGGTTGCATCGCGATGTTTTCCATCACTGTAAGAACGTCGGATAAATGTACATATGTAAATCGAAAAACATATTGATACATAGCGGAATTCAAACCCAGAACCTATAGATTACAAGTCAAGTGCATTGACCCCTGAGCCATCAACACTCTTGATAGGGATATGAGTACAACTTACGCCAGTAAACCAGTGGAATGGGTATAGTTTACAGTTTTCTATTTGGCGCGGTTCTGGTACAAAGATCAGCCTCTTCCACATGAATACTACGCTCGTATAATAAGAATGAAAATAATCGTATCTTTTATATCTACATTAAAGTATACGTATGTTTTCCGCACACTCGCAGTAAAATAAAATGAGTAACTGCCTACGCGGTATCGCCCACATCACTTCAATCTAGTACACATTGAAGTAAAGTGGGCGATATAGTGAAATGTGAAACCTTTTTTGTTAATAAGAAAATGCGTATGTAAATTGCGTCGAAAAAAATGCGTCGTAAGTTGCAATTTAAAATGTAATGTTTGTTTATAATCTTACTAATATTATAAATGCAAAAGTTCATATGATGGATGTTTGTTAGAAGGTATCTCCTAAACGGCTTAACTGATATCGACGAAACTTTGCATAAGTGTAGAGCAAAGTCTGGAAGAACTCATAGGCTATAAAGTTTTTTTTAACTACGCGAGGATGGAGTTGCGTGCGACAGTTAGTAGATAATAAATAGCATAAGAAAGTTTAAGCATACATAATTCCTATATTTCGTGCAAGTTCTGCTGTTACCAAATGTAAGTGTTGGATTGAAAATAACAACGAGGATAGAGTTATGTGCACTGCAACTGTACGAAATCACGTCGATGACTAAGTAAAGATATTTTATAAAAATTACATGATTAAGTATATTTCTACCTTCTATTATGAGTCCTTGGATAACTCCTACGTGATTCACATATTATATGAGTTAATACAGGACACCCTGTGCATAAATTAATAAGTTATATGTATAATGCAAAATGCTGCATTAATTGACCTTAATGATTCATTCAACTTTTGATGACGCTATATTTTGACATTCCTCGAAATGAGAAATCAACTCTGATTTCGTTTAGTACTCGCATATTTCTTATTAATTATATTTCTTTATATTATGTATTTAACTGTCTGTATGTTAGATTAAATGTTAATCTTTTTAAGGACATATCCAAAAAATTAATCGACATCGTAGGGGACCGAAGAGCTGGCAGCTACCTCGGGCAAAGAATTAGTTTAGCTATCCAAAGGGGGAACTCTGCCAGTATCTTCGGAACCTTGCCTAAAGGGACTTCCTTTAATATTACACTTCTGGCGTCAAGGTATTCGAGCTCTACCAGGAAGATGGGAAAAAGTTGTGTCTAGCGATGGGCAATACTTTGTATGATTCATTCATAATAATAAAGTTATATTTTTTTTTATCGAAAAAAAAGCGAGAACTTAGTTGCACACCTAATAATATATTTTTTAGTAAATTATTAGTTTTTAATATTTTATTTGATAAAATAATTTTTCATGTACAATATTCTAGTATACTATAATAATAAACTATCACATTGATTAAATGTAAAATATATTTAAGAAAATATTATCGTTTCGTTAATTACCGAGTCCCATAGCGTTGTAAAAGGTTGCTGCGAAACACTTAAATAAATACAAATTAAACGGTTTGTAACGTACAGTCTTAATTAAACTGTAAATTGGACGTTATAATTGTTCTCGAGATCCATTGAGATGTTTTTTAATTATTTTTTTCGATGCTTGTCTTTTTGTCACTAATTGACGTAATAAAGTAACACGATCAATTGTTTGTGTTAAACGTGCTAAAAGGTTAAAAAGCATTTTATACTAGCTGTCACTTATTTAGTAGCCTATGTCTTAAAAGCTATGTTCTACATCTATGCCAAATTATAACGAGATCTATGCAGCCGTACTAGAGATGCGTACCATCCAAACATTCGCATTTATAATAGTAAGAAGTAAAGTTTAACCCATTTTTTTTTACTAGAATAAAATAGATATGTGTTTTGGCATTAGTAAGTTAAGTCCAACTTTAACTGATTATCCTTAATGAGGCGATGATACTCGTACTAGAGGATTGATTTGAAGGCAATTTTAGAAAAAGTTTCATAAAATAGTTCATATAAAGATGAGTAAATAAATAGT